CTGTTCCACCCCCATAACTGGCTTATCATTAGTAAGAATATATACTTACTATTATAGATTCTACACTGTTACAAAAGTAACAAAAAACAAATGTCTTCTTAGGTTGATCTTAATTTATTGATCTATTTGCGACAATTTCTAGGATAGGCTAGGAAAGAAGGAAATGAAACTAGAAGTAGAAGAGATAGCCCACTGAAAACCAGTGAGGTATCATTYTGACAGAATACTGTCTCTAGAGTGAATTCTGCCTCTAGAGCTTTAGAAAAGCAGCATTTTCTAGGAAAGCAATGGTTTCAGTAAGGACAAACAAACCAGYGTCTGTTATTTGAGAAAAAGTGAGGACTAACAGCCTTAGTGCAAGACAGCAAGATAGTGTCTTGCAACATGTAACAAAGTATTTTCATGCTCAAAAACTTTTTTTTTTTTTAATAATTCTAATCATCATGTTAAAATTCAACTATTATAGAAAAAGCAGAAGAAAAATTATTCCTCTGTTTTAAAGTTTCATTTATATCAAAATATAGTTTCATCAAGTATAATCACTTGAAGACATTACCTACACAAACACAAGCTAGTAGTTTGTGTTYCTTTTAGTTATTCTTTTCCACATATTGTCTCTGCTTTTACCACAACTCTAAGTAAAATATGTTACACTTCTATCAACAAWTTTTTTTCCTTTATTTGATCAGTTATTCTGATTAAATTAACTTCAGTAGTATGCAATTTGTAAAAATCAAAATTCTATAAACTGTTGTTGTAAAATCCAAATAGAATAAATAAATAGAATAATTAGAAATACAATCCAAAAGAAACAAACTTCATTGTTTCAAAGGCAAGAACGGACTCCTACAAAAGTACAGACCTGTTATCACTTTTTACTACATATCACTTTTGGTAATATTCTCATCAAATCTTACAGGCAAAACATGTACTTCCATATCAACCGGAATCAAAGACTATCGTTCTAATGTAAACTTTTCCTGGCTTACCGATGGTGAAGAGAAATTACTATCAGCCAATAGCTGTGAATGTTCTTCCTCATTAAACTCATCAGTTGGCTCACAAAGGAATTCTTGTCTCCGTCTTTTTTGGGACCCAGGCTGTGAAACACTTTCTTCTTTTCTCTTACCCATGAGTACTGAAGGAAAAAAATATTATAGACAGAGGCACATTTAATAAATACTGCAAAAGAAATATTAAGGACCATAGCAAATGTTGCAATGAACTGAAACACTTTAATTTTTAGAATTGAAATCAGAGTGAAGCCAAGTCAAAGTTTAAATTATAGCAAAAGAAAGACAACTTCATTACTCTACCAAAATTTTTGGTGACTAGGAAAATTAAATACGATTCTATTTCTGTTGTAATATTAGACTTAAATATTTACTAGACTTTCTTTTGTTTATCATTGAAGTCAAAGCCTAAGCTGCAAAAGCAACAGACCTTCTGAACGGCTGGGGTCACAACGGACCTCCAGACATCATCTTGTCCAGTCATCGTGCTCAAGTAGGGTCACCTAGAGCACGTTGCCCAAGACTATGTCCAAACAACTTCTGAGCATCTCCARACATGAAGATGTTGCAGCCTCTGTGGGTAACCTGTTCCAGTGTTCAGTCACTTGCTCCTTCACAAGGCTCTGTGCCTTGACAGTAGCACAGTTATTAACACATGGCAAGCATTCCATAGCTTATGTGAAGTTCAACTTGGCTGAATCCACCTCAAACTACCACATCACAGTCTAGTGGAAGATAACACCAAGTGGAAGGTATATATTTATAGTAAGTTTTTAAGATATTAAAGAATCACAAAGAAACAAAGACTGTCAAGTTAGAGCTTCAGTAATGAAAAACATATTAAATTAGCATTGCAACCAAGAGGCACTCTCTTGTCTCTGCTGTTCTGCTGTCTCATCCTCCTGAGCACAAACAATTCTTACATTTCTTTATGCATCAAAATAAGCTGACAAGACACTGATTCTAATGAAAACTGATAAAAGACAGATAGCATTTCTCTGTTTTCTTAARTGAGATCAGTTCCACAGCTCAGTTCCCACCTAGATCTGTATGTCTGGGCCAATTGGAGAAAGAGCCTGASCAGCAGTTCACTTTCACTTTTGTCAGCTGAATGTGCTTTTTCAAACTAATCTGATTGCAGCAGACAAAAGATGAGAAAGCTCATATTATCATACATCATACTACGTAGATAAAAGCATACATTATCAGACACAACAGATATTAAGATATGTTATAAAATTGCAAATGGTGGTTAATTTCAACTCTAGATGTAGAGTTATGAAAAAAGAGCATCTAATATTTCCCTCATTAACTCTTTAACATATATTAAAAATAACATTTCTTTCTACTAAATGTAATGAATAAATTCAAAGCAAAGACAGAAGTGTAATGAACTCCCCATGTGATCTTCTTGCATTTTTTTTTTAAGAGCGAAGACTGCAAAATAAATTACTGTTATATCCRTTAAACATTAAAACAGAAATATAAGCTTCCCTGTAAGGTTGTGCAGCTTAACATGATAAACAGAAACAGACGATCAGATGTATTTTGTCATTTAGTTACATACCTTTCTGTTACACTACTTTCAGTTCACTACATAAAGATGTCCTAATGTTTAAATTCCTCAGATTGGGAAAGAGTTGTTGGGCTCCTGGAATTCACCCATCAAACAAACATGAAGACAGGCATCCATTCAATCGGGTAGTGCAACTGAAACCACTCTCTCTAAAAGGAATAAAAAATAATAAAATAAAATAAAATAAAATAAAATAAAATAGCAATACTTAAATGCTATAATTACTAAAGTCAATACTAAAGATAAGGTTTATGATTTCTACTGTTATAAAAAACCTACACTGCTCTTCCATTATATTGGAGTGAAACAGCAAAAGTTTTCACTCCAGAATTCTTGAGTAACTTGGTTTTTGATAAAGCCATTGGGCCTATTTGAACTTTCACATACAAAGCACACTTAAGGACACAAAGAGGAATGTGAAAAAGCACAAGTACACATTTATACAAATCAGCCAATCTAGATTCATTTTCAGCTTTATATCATCTTGATGTTTTTGACAAAGTTATTCTCTGCAACAGTAACTCCCCAAACCATTGTACCAATACGCCCCCAACATTTTCCTCACAAAAACTTGAACTGAATTAGGAATTAGTAAGTTTCAGTTTCAGCACCACTTATGACTGACACCACCACTTCAAACAAGAGAAAAAGCAGCAGGTCTGGCCTATCTGTATGTCATTAAAAATGTGGAAGTATCAAATATACTAGCAAAGATAAAGATTAATTAAAATATTTTAAATAATAGACTAATGGTAAGTCAATAGTAAGTCGAAATTTTAACAGAGCTTTKTTTAAAGGATCAGACCTCATATTTAGTATCAGAAGCTTTACTGTAACAAAGTAAGACCATGTTAATGGAGACTGTCATAACAGACAGAAACACAATAGAAATGAGAATCTGATCATCATCCAGCAAGACAAAAGCAGTGATTTAACTAAACAAACAAACAAACTCTTTATTAGAATAGAATGAGAGAATATGCAATTAGGAGCAAGAACTGCAGCTAWGAGTTGGGAACAAACAGGAACAATACAGATCCAGTAACAAAAGACATCATAAGATTACGACAAAATATTACGCGTAGTTGTTATGCACGTTAAGGGGCCTCCCAAAAAATCCCTGTACACATTACAATTACTGGGACTACCACACATGACAGAAGGAAAGTATTTACAGTATTGAGATCAGAGTACGGGAAAATAGAGGCTGACTCCACTGGAGGGACCCTGCATTTCCAGAGTTTGGATTGCAACGTATTTCTGAAAGCCCCTTTCCTGACTGGTCACCGAGGGCCTCACCCAGAACAGAGAATCACTCTACTGCAGAGAAAAATAATAATTAATGATAATAATRATAATGATAACGGCTCCCTAGCACTCCTATGTTACAGGACAGTTCAAATACCGCTAAAATTCACTGTTGCCCAAATACCGGCAGGCTGTCTGGGCACTGACTGTTTGAACACCGCCAAAACTCAGCCTCGTCCCATCAGCAAAATAAACACCGGCGGATGAGACAGCAGCTCTGCGGCAGGTTGAACGACCTCCGGCGTTCACGCCGATGCCCAAACGCACTACGCTGTGCCCCAAACCCCCCATCACACCGAGGAAAGGGCGACTTCGGTAGAAGCAACAGGGCACCCGGTGCCGCCAGGCCCGGCGCGGGCAGCGCTTCCCCAACCCGCCCTCCTTCAGAGGGGCCGCCAGGAGCTTCCTCTTCCCCCCGCGGCTCCGCGGCTTTGGCCGGTTGTCACCCCGGCAGCAGAAACGCGCCCGGGTCCCGCGCGCGGCCGCGCAGGGAGGCGCCGCTTCCCGCGGTGCCTGCGCTGCGCCGGCCGCCATGGGGCAGGGCCCGGTCCTGCCCTCGGGGCGGGGGGCAGCGCGGCGGGCGGCCCCTCGGCCATGCGGGGCGCTGCGAAACCCTCGCGGCCCCTAATCGTCCCCTCTGCCGATCACAAAAACGGGAGCCAGTCCCCAAGCGGGCAGGGGCGGCTGCAGCGCGGCACCCTGCCCCGCTCCGCAGCCTCCCCTCGCACCGCGCGGGAACGCGGGCACCTACCGGGCCAAGGAGCCGCCGCCGCCTCCTGCCCCTCGCTCCTCCTCAGCGCCGCCCGCCGGGCGGTTGCAACGGACGCCGCGTCCAACGGCGGCGAACGTTCGAGCGCGGCGGCGGCCGCCGCGCGGGAGCGGAAGAGCGCGGAGCGGCGCTGCGCCTGCGCGCGGCGCCCCCTTCCCCGCCAGCCGCGGCCCCGCCGCCGCCGCCATCTTAGGGGCGGAGCGCGCGGCGCGGCGGCAGCCCCGACCGTTGGCGCTGAGGCGGCGGCCGAGGCGGGAGTTTTAAATGCAGGAATTCAAAAAAGCGCTTGGATTCAAAGGAAGAGGGTCGGTTATTATGTCTCCTTCAGGGAGCTGGTAGCTGCACTGGTGTCTTCAGTGACTTACAAGTATGTGCGGGGTGGGAGGAAGAAAAGAAAAGTCTGATCTCCCTGCTTTGGAAATGACCTTTTCGAATAGCAGGGACCGGCGTGAACAAACGGCCTCAATAAAATAGGAGTAAACGGGCTGCTGCTGTTAAAAGTAGTAGGTGTGTCTGTGAGTAGGATACAGATTTAAGTAACTTGAAGGATACACTCAAAAAAAAAAAGCAAAATAGTGATAAAACGGGGAGGAGGGAGAAGGGAGGAGCATGTAATAGATCTCACATCTTGCCTTAGGAAAATCTATCCTTTGACTGCCTTATGGTAAGGGAAAGTCCTGTCTTTAATAATAATACTTTATTATTTCTCTAAGGAAAATGATGATTTTTTTTCTTTATTCTCATTTTTTTTAAAAATGTCCTTTTTTTTTTCTGTCTCAATATGTTGAATAGTTCTAGTGTATATTTCTTTCCTGTTAATTAAATACTATCTGACTGTTCATAGCAACTTTGATAAACTAATTCAGTTTCTTAATTTCTGTATGCGTAACGTAGGCTGATAGATACCAAATRATAATGTTAAAAAGCTCTGTTCTTCTGCTCTTGCTTTGTTTTTATTATTATTTATTTTTGTTGTATGTTTTGTCTCATTGAAGTCCTTAAAGGTGAATATCATATTTAGCTTTTGACAGGTTTTGAATGCCCTTAGTCCCCCCGCTCCTCCCTTTTCCACAGCYTTCCTATACTTTACATGTACAACATGGAAACCAAATCTCAAATGACAGAACAGGGGCTTGTCACCTTTACTACAAGAATATAACCACTAGCTTTCTTAGATTATATAGTCACTCAAATTTTTGCTATGTTGTTTTTAAAACTATTGTGTTATTATTTGTTTGATTTAAGTRGATTTAGGGGGAGGGAGTGATTGCAAAACAGTACAATGACTACCTTTTATTCCCTAGTTATGTTACGATTTTTATAGGGATTTTTCAGGTTAAAGCTCTTCAGAGTTTCCACAGCATATATGCAGTCTAGGTAGCTAGGAATGTTGCATTTCTCAAGATTTAATTTTAATAACTTATTTTTTACAGCAGGATATAGGCTTTTCAGAAAAGGAAGCCCAATGTTCTACTAAGGAGAAAGCTTGGGACTTTGTCGTGTGTGAAAGAGGGTGTCCATAAAATAACATATGAGTGCTTTAGTAGCAAGCAGTGTGTTCYCTTCCATCCCTCTTATTAAAATAGTCCTGTTGCAGCTATCTGTGGCAGCTATTTGCCTTAATTTTATGAAAGCAACAGAAGTATATTTAACAAAAGTTGTTTTGCATTAAATTAAAATGAAATTTGTTTTTATGGGCTATACTTCAGATTTGGTAGCTTATGCTTATGGTGGATTCCCATGTGTACCTTGTCTGAGATGTCCCTCCCACCCCACCAGAAATACCTCTTCAACCACTGCTGATATCAGTTAATGAAAAACTTAATGTAGAAAAAAGAGATCATCCTGCAAATAAAAAAAAGAGGCCACTTATTTGTATGCTTTGATATAGATCCAGATAACTCATAGTAACAATAAAATCAATATTTTTTTTGCTATGCCCTGAACGCACAAAAATTAAAAACAGGTTATATCATTAAAATAGTTAAAGGAATCTAGGCAAAAGTGGTCTATGTTGAAAGTAAGCTCTTCCCTGAGAACCAATAGGAGGAAAAAAATGTTGCCAGTAAAAGCAACCTGCAATTTCTGCAATGGCAGAAACTATTTATATTATTGGTTACCTACATTGTTTTAAAACATTTATTGAGTACAGAACATAGAGCACTTTGCAAAGCCAGCCTGTTGTTCTCAGTGTTAAGTGTGGCATATACATGAATTTTTCAGGTCTGTGTTTGCAAGAGGCCACAAGGTGGAACAGTCTGTCCTAGGCAAATCACAGAACACAGGAAGGTCATCTGGTCACAGTCTCCTCACAGGGAGGGCTTTTGGTTGTCTTTAGTGTACAGTAGTTTCAGTAGTTTTAAACTTAAGAATTGTGAAAAAAAATCCTTTTCTTTTAAAAAAAATCTTTGAATTTTGAGAAAGAAGTAGAGAAATGATAGCAAGGCAAGTTTTGTATAAGTTTTGTATAATAAGACAATGTTGGAATAGACTGGCGAGGAGCGCACGACACAACATCAGGAAGGGAGTGGAATGTGTGCCAGAAGCCTAATAGAACTGTGAAGTGTGAAATCTAGAAGAGTAATGGGAAAGGAAAGAGAAAGAAAGGAAGAAAATCTGATAATGGGGTAAACAAGGGGAACAGAGATACACAACTAAAGCTACCTAAGAATATATATACACACACACACACACACACACACACACACACACACACACACACCCCCCATCTAATGAGTATACATTGTCATCTGACGTATAGTATAGAGTTTATAGAGCAAGGCCTGCAATACTAAAATTAAAAATGGTGAAATCAAATGCGATCGAATGCTTGCTTCTAGAATCACATTGTTGTAGAGAAATGTTTCCCRGAAGGATCCTCCTGAGGTCATCTGTAAGACTTTCCTGTTCAGGGTGGATCAAAACAGCAAAACAACATCATGACTGAATCTTGAAAATCTCCAAAAATTGACATTCCACAACCTCTTTGGTCAAACAGGGCTCTGCTCTGCCATTTTTTTCCTAACGTTCAATTTGATTTTACCATGGAACAATTATTGTCCCTTTTTGGATTTGATTTAAATTTGATTCTCTTATCTACATAAATAACTTTCAAGTAGCTGTAGGATATTATTATTTGAACAGAAATATTTTTAATGCAAGTATTATAGTTTCAAGTGGAAGAATAACTCTATTAATGGACGACTTGGACTGGAGATATGTATGGAATGAATGAGACAACGTTTATCTTTTTTAATTGTGTTTGTTGTTATTATTTCTGTTCAGACTAACTACAGTTAAAAGTGCGTGCTCCAAAGGAGGTATTCAGTAATAAACCCCCTGTAAAGTGGAGTTTGTAGATGCTAATAGGGTTTGATCGCAAGTGTTCTTGGCTCTTAAAAGTAAAAGCAATAGTGACCATTTTCAAATTAACAATCATAAATAAATGCCTCACTTTGTGTTAGGTTCTAAAAATATTTTATTTTACTTGATTATTACAGCTGGAACCTTAGGTTAACACTCAAGAGGACAGAACAATGGGAGTGACTAATCTGTGGCAAATCCTTGAGCCTGTGAAACAACCTGTTGACTTGAGCAGTCTCAGGGGAAAAACACTTGCAGTAGATTTAAGCCTGTGGGTATGTGAAGCACAGACTGTTAAAAAGATGATTGGAGTAGTTACCAAACCTCATCTCAGGTATAGTACCTATATAATTTATTTTAGCTAAAAATGTTGATGCTGTACAATTTAGCATTAAAACTTCATCTAAAGTTAAGAATATCTAGATTAAGACCCAAAATTCATATAACTGTTTACTTTGACTGTGTTATATCAGTTGTGCYACATGCATCAAATGAAGGCTGACTGGATTAAATTGAATGCTTAGAGGCAAATAAGAGGTCCTGGGTTCAGCCTACTTAGTGTTGGGGCTTCCACTATAGATAAGAATGAGATGGACTGGATGTAAGAAGAACCATGTTTAYTTTAATGTGTATATTGCAAGGCTTTTCCTGCAGTATTGAGCAACAAGAACACGAACTAGTAGGTTCATTCCAAAGTTTCGAGGCTGCATGTGAGAGAATACTGTGGGAGTTTTGACAATTAATATATTAGGATCCAAATGCTGTGATAGCACATCAGTAGACCCCCTGTGTTTTAGAGTGTTGTGGCCTTTGAAACCAAATTCCAGTAWGACCCCATATTGAAGTGCATAAATGAGGATTCAGGCTTATAAACTGAAGCATGTGCAACCTTGAATATGTATATTTCTTATWTAAACAAATCAATACTTAAGTAATCAGCATATGTAAGCAGATACTGGTTTGGCCAAATGATGCTGACAAAAATAAAAATCAAAGAAAGTTTGCAAAAGAAAAAGTAAAGTTTCAAAAATGAACACTAGCTGTTGCTAGATATTTCTGAGGCTTCTTTGATATCAGTTCTAACTGATATCATTTCAGTTCTTACTGAATAATTTCTTACGATGTCATACTCATGATCCCTAATGGATATTTAACTTGAAGCATAATATAACCAAAGTATTTAACTGCTTATACCACATCCTGGGTACGTCAGAATGGAAGCATCAGTCCAGAGTTCTTATGCATCCTTTCTAAAGCAAGACAAAGAGATGAATAGATTTCTACTAGAAAAAGGAATGTTTTCAGGAAGTAGAATTTTAAATTGTATTGAATTTATCTTATTCTTTTATGCATAATAAATATACAAAAGTAATTATGAAGTAAACAGTCTTTTCATGTCAGCCAAACAGATCCAAATGTTTTATTTTACTGTTTTTGAAAGATAGATCACTGAACTATGGAAGAATATTTTTGATTGCTTTTTCAGTATTATACATTATACATTATTATACATTATACTGTCTTATACTACAGAATTTACTTCAGTATCTCAAGTACCTTTATTGATAGATTTGAAATTAAAACTTAGTATAATAAAATGACTGTTAGTATGGTTATATATTTAAAAGCAGGTTTTGAACACAGTAGTTCTTATTCAGTCTTTTAAATTTATATTATTACTCTAAAAATAACTTTTTTGACATAATATATTTACATAATATATATTTTTGTGAGTTTTGTTAAGCGATTTCAAATCTATAGTACATTAACACCAGGAGAGTAGTTTGGGGATAAGGGAATCCTTAGCAATGGAGAGAAAGCTAAAATTGTCTCTAGAGTAGTTTTGAGAAATGTAAGAAAAATATCTGAAGAAAATTTAGCTTTATTGTTTCTGCTACTTAAAAAAATCCTTCCTTTATTGCAGAAACCTCTTTTTTCGCTTCTCTTTCTTAACATCCATGGGGATTAATCTGGTATTTGTCACGGAAGGAGAGGCGCCCAAGCTGAAAGCAGAGACCATGAGTAAGAGGAATGAAATGCGCTATGGAACTTCCAAGCAACCCAGGGCTGCAAGAACAGGGAGATCTTATTTTAAATCCATTTTAAATGAGGTGAGTGACTGAGTGGGGCTTGGAAGAAGGGCAAGAGGGCATGGGAAAAAAAATGCAACAAAGTTAAAAGCAAGAATTTGAAACAACTAATCAWTTTTTCTACATAACACTTTAGCAATATTTTGAGTTAGAGGAATTGCTTGCACCGCTTTGAAACTGGACATTATACCTTTTGCTTAACTGTTATTCCAGTAGAGGGGCAGTGCTAGCAAATATAAAACTCATGTTCCTGTGCTTGTTACACTGCAGAGAATTAGAATTACAGCCATAAATGCATGCTTATTACAGAAATTCAAATTTTTCATTCTTTAATAATGTTCCTATTTGTACTTTTTCCTAAATGGAAATGATATATATACCATTTAGGTGTATGATTAATTTTACTTATCTGGCTAGTTCTAGGTTAACAGTAATGGTATTCTTAAACATGGCATAAAGTCACATGCCGTTTCTGATAATATCTTTGTTCATTAAATGTATCGTAACTAAACCTAAAATACAACCTCCACTCTTTCATTTGATGATCTATTTTGACTTTTGGCAGGGCCAATCTATCAAAGTAAACTCATCAGAAAGTTGCTTGGAAGTAGACACATTTTCACTACCTAATTACTCTTGCTGCCTTTACTGAGCTCTGGTGAATGAAATGCTCTGAAATCAATCAATGTTGCTAATGAATGTATTTAATTGAATATTAAATATCTATTTACTAGTGGATTCTTTCTTTCAGTGCCTTGAACTGTTGGAGTGCTTGGGTGTCCCATGGGTTCAAGCAGCTGGGGAAGCAGAGGCAATGTGTGCTTACCTGAATGCAAATGGATATGTTGATGGCTGTATTACCAATGATGGAGATGCCTTTTTATATGGAGCTCAAACAGTTTATAGGAATTTTGCCATGAATGCCAAGGTAGTGTACTTCATTTGGGGGCAATGAGAGACTTGTTTACTTGCTCTTTAGACACTATATCTTCCTCAAACTATAAATAGAGAGGATCATAAAGCCTTTGGAAAAAACCACCTGCATATTGTATTTATCCTCTTGTATTTGAATTTGTTTAAAATAGTACTTTAAGGAGGTAACATCTTGTTTGATTTGCTGGTGATCCAAGCGCTAGGTACCTAGATACAAAAAAAAATGAATTGAAGAAAGTTTGTGATGGTTTAATTTGTATTTGTACAGAGTCCACTACAGAAGGACAAGTACAGGGTCCTGCAGCTGGGGAAGAATAACCCCAGACGCTAGTATAGGTTAGGGGTTGACTGCCTGGAAAGCAGCTCCATGGAGAGGGATTTGGGAATCCTGATTGACAACAAGTTAGCCTTGAGTTGGCAGTGCCCTCATGGCCAAGAAGTCCAATAGGATCCTGGCCTGCATCAGGAGGAGTGTTGCCAGCAGGTCGAGGGAGGTGATCCTGCCTCTCTACTCAGCTCTGGTGAGGCCACCTGGAGTACTGGGTGCAGTTCTGGGGCTCCCCAGTATAAGAGGGACGTGGAGCTTCTYGAGAGGRTCCAGMGRAGGGCAACCARGATGATTAAGGGAMTGGAACATCTSTYGTATGAGGRGAGACTGAGTTGGGCCTGTTTAGCCTGGAGAAGAGAAGGCTGAGAGGGGATCTGATCGATATGTCTAAGTACCTGAGGGGAGAATGTAGGGAAGAAAGAGCTAAGCTCTTCCTAGGGGTGGCCAGAGACAGGAGAAGGGGCAGTGGGTATAATTTGGAACATAGGAAGTTCCATCTCCAGGTGAGGAGGAACTTCTTTCCTGTGATGGTGACAGAGCCCTGAAACAGGCTGCCCAGGGAGGTTGTGGAGTCTCCTTCTCTGGAGGTCTTCAAAACTCACCTGGATGTCACCCTGTACCATGCGCTCTAGGTGGTGCTTGAACAGGGGAGTTGGACTAGATGATCTCTAGAGCTTCCTTCCAAACTTCATCCGTGATTCTCTGAAGAAAAAAAAAAAAAGGTGCTATGAACATAAAGGAATATGTGTGTATAATCATAAATGTGTGTATATATATACATTTTATAACATAGATAAACCATGTGATATATATAAACATATAATGTTTATATTTTTAAAAGTTGACAGAAGGTTATTTGCTTTCATGCCACCATTTTTGGATTTTATGTTGGTCTGGTTTTTGTGCGTGTGGGTTTTTTTTTTTCTTTCATTAATTTTGAGTGCTATTTATTACCGAGAATGAGGATAGACTCAAATTTTCAGGTTAACTTTATTAGATATCCAAGTGAAGTAGTGTTTGAATTTTTTTAAAAGGAAAAAAAAARKWA